CGCTGTAGCCATGTCCTGCTGTGTCTGATTCTTGAAACATTGTTTTCTCCTTTTCTTTCTTTTTGTCATGATATTTTGGGGGGGTTGGCGGGTGCTCTGGTCTGGTTTGCTTCTTCCTTCCACTCAAACGTCTATCGTCTTTATCTCCCCTCCTTCTTTTTTGTGTTTGTTAAACTCTTGTAACACCTCTAATTTTCGGCACCTATATGACCTTATTGTGTTGCAAGTGCCGTAAAACTCTTACTAAAACTAAAACTTTTTGTCATTATATATTGTGGGGGGTGCTGACAAAATGAGTTACTTCTCGGATTCAAGCCCTAAGGAAATAGATACAATCATACATCATGCTAATAGGTGAAGTGCAGTATAATCTGCTAATATCGACATGCTCTGGGAAATGGATTTGATGTCGATGTATTAAATAAAATTGTCGATAAATGAAATATAAAGCCAAAAGAGGAAAAAACAAGGGGAGGTCAGCGGTAAAAAGACAACACTATATTTTAAAGCCAGTTGTTTTCCTTGATTCTTACACAACTAACTACACAGTGAAACCAACAGTGCTGTAAACTCTCTGGTGAAACTAACAAGAGGCAGAGAGAGGGGGGGGGGGGGTTGGAGTAACGGTACCAAAGACCGAGCTAGGCAAGGCGCACGCTACACACAAGCGCAAACTTTATTGTAGTATCCTTATAAGGCCTGTTTGTGGCCGCTTGCTGGGGAAAATGGAAAGGCATGGCACTGACTCGCTGACCGTGGCACTTGCCAGCAACAGACTGAGAATGGGATGTGGAAGGGGAGTGGGCGATCGGGAGCGGGGGTTGGGAGGTGATGCCCAGCGCGTGAGACGCTCCCGTCTGTGAGGCACTGTACTGTGTTGGAGACTAAACTGTGCAGGCCCTACATGACCTACTAAAGTCTTTTGTGTCCCATAGGCTGCTTTGCGGGTATGCGTACTTACGAAGAACTAATTCGTTTACCGTTAACGTGGACTTTTTCCCCCCATTTATGTTCGTGGGCTTTGCCAGGAACCAAGGAAGCATTTCGATAAAGCAGAATGGGCCGGAAAAAAAAGTCTATATTTTTATAAGAGGAATTGTTTAATGAATATATTGAAGGAAAAATGTATTTCGTAATCGGAAAATATGTCGATATAATTAACATGTCAAAATGTCAGTACACTGGCTGTCGATAGAAGTGGATTATACTGTATTCATAATTTATAAGTATGAAATAATAAAAAGCATGTTATACTTATAGAATACGGCACCTATAAAAAATATATATATCTCACCCTAGTGTCGATTTTTTGCCTATATCTCCATCTGTGGATTGCGAGAAGTACGGTAACCCATTTTGTCAGCATGCCTCACAAATCATTCTCGTGTGCCAACTTAAGTTAAACTTCGTCAAAATGGAATTGTGTATTAATTCCTCATACAATTGTTAAGATCAATGGATATTTTTTTTCACCCAAAGCAAGACAAATGAACTAGCTTTAAAATGATATCAATAAGTCTACATGCCCCTTCATTGACGAGAGCCTGATTCCACTGCATCATAACACAGGTTGTTATTATTATTTTGAAGTTATTTTTGTCATTATTATATTTTTTACTATCTTATGTTCATGTTTTCAATGCTTTTTTTTCCCCTTTCTTGCAGGATGCCGTTCGAGAAAGCCAAGAAGGGTCTCCAGTGTAAATCTCCAGAATTTGAGAGTGTGTGTGTGTGTGTGTGTGTGTGCGTGTGTATGTGTGTATTTGCCAGTGGGTGGATGATGAGTACATGACATGGGAGTAGTTTTAATGGAAGTTTTATGTGTTAACCCTATCCGTACGCCCTGGGGTCATTTTGTACCCCCGGGGTTGTATTCTTCGCATTTTAGAATACTTCTAGTACGAAGATCGTTTTGAAACTTTCAGTATTTCTAAAAAATCATTTTGACCGACTGCTATGCAAAGCATACTGATCGGATTAACAAGTAAATTTCCTCTTTGGAAAATGGTGGCTCAGAGTTCCCCACGTTGTACGGATACGATAGTAAAACACGAAGTACGGATAGGGTTAATCTGTATGTGTGTGACACCCTGCGCTAGTGTGTACATAATTAATGAATGAATCTGTTTATATCTGAGCTGTGGGGAAAGAATTTGTGGGTATGTCTGTACAGCTGTGTGTGGATGTATGTGAGTGTGAGCGTTGCCGAGAGGGAGAGAAAGAAAGAAGGAAGGAATGAGGAAGTGTTTGGCTAGAACTTTTGTGTTGCATTGAACTTTGAATTTCGTGTCGTTTTCGTTGGAAATAGTAAGGCAGCCACCATAATAATATTACTTACTTACTTACTACCCGTTACGCCGTCTGGCGTTTAGGGCAGCAACAAAGGATCTCCAGCTCTGTCTGTTTTGGGCCATCTTGGTCAGCGTTTTCCCATGAATGATTCCAGGACTTCATTTCAGACTCCACTGTGCGTCTCCAGATCACTTTGGGTCTGCCACTTTTGCGACGTCCTTCGGGTGTCCAGTGGAGGGCAGTCTTCACAATAGAGTCTGGTTGTCTTCTCAGAACATGTCCAATCCATCTCCATCTTCTCCTTTTTATTATGGTGGTCATAATATATATGTGTCCTTCTTATTCGTGAATCGAGAAATGATTCGTTTGTCTATCAGTTTGACAGTAGATCTTTGGTTTTGTAGAGTTAACTTGAAAATGTTATTAGTACCTTCTAAAAAGTTCCCCCTAACCGGAAAGTTGGTTAACGTTACATACCGTACTACTGATCTTTGATCCTAATAAATGTTTGTGAATTACATACTAATGAAAATGCTGAAATTGAATAAAAGAAAGGTGGGCCTATATATTCCTTTTCAAGGTTAATCCCGTGTGTTTGCACCTCATGTGTCACCCAGTTTGTTGATGAAAGCTCTCTTGAACTCATTTTACTTTCTTTTTTAAAAAAATAAAAACTAGAAATACGCCGTTTGTGTTACGCGATTTTTTGTTTTGCTGCATGTTGGAAGATGACTATCATTTGTAAATTCTTTTGGTCTTCAGGGTTTTTTTGTTGGTTTTTTGTTGGGGGTTTTTTTGGGTCCTGTGAAACCAACTGTGCTGTAAACTCTCTGGTGAAACTAACAAGAGGCAGAGAGGAGGGGGGGGGTTGGAGTAACGGTACCAAAGACGGAGCTAGGCAAGGCGCACGCTACACACAAGCGCAAACTTTATTGTAGTATCCTTATAAGGCCTGTTTGTGGCCGCTTGCTGGGGAAAATGGAAAGGCATGGCACTGACTCGCTGACCGTGGCACTTGCCAGCGACAGACTGAGAATGGGATGTGGAAGGGGAGTGGGCGATCGCAGTAATCTGTCCCCGTGGTTTTATGCACCCCGCATAATTTAGCAAAATTTGATCATTTTTGCTTAATTTCTGATTACTTTCCTTTAACATTCTTTGTTAAAATTAACAGAATCTTATAATTTCACATTTTTTAGGCTCAGTTAGCATAATTTCAGAATTTTTCTTGCTTAAAACGACGGGGACAGATGTACTCGCTCGGGGGTCCTTAAAAAGTGCTGCACGTGGGTCACTCCTCCTCCTCCTTCTTCTTCTTCTTCTTCTTCTTCTTCTTCTTCTTCTTCTTCTTCTTCTTCTTCTTCTTCTTCTTCTTCTCCTCCTCCTCCTCCTCCTCCTCCCCCCTCCTCCTCCTCCTTCTCCTCCTCCTCCTCCTCCTCCTCCTCCTCCTCTATACATACATAACTACACTCACATAATACATAAAAACAAAATATTACTCCAACAAGGAACAATTTCACAACCATGCCAATGTCATCGCTGGTCGCCCGCTGCGCAGCGCCCTGTTTTTGCGTGGCTCTCACTACTCTCAGTCTCCTCAGTGCTCGAGAGATCGCAGGAATAGACTACATTGTTGTACTGGACAGGAGGAGAATGTTAGTGGCTCTGTAAGTCACTAAGTGCGTCATTACTGTCTGTGGTCGGTCATCCTTAAGTTAAAGAAGCCAGGGGGGGGGGGGGGGGTGGCGAGTGCTCTGATGTGGGTTTCTCCTTCTTTCCTCTATCAAACATCTATTGTCCCCCCAACCCCCTATCTTTTGCGATTTTAGATATATGTGAGGCAGCGTGGTGGAATCAGGCTCTCGTCAAAATAATCAAAGTGAAGAAACTTGCATTTTTACGGCAGGTTTGTGAAGTTTTATCAATGTCTT